TATCTCTTGGCAGTAACGAAAGCAAATATCTCACACAAAAACTAAGTTATCTTTTACCCAGTTACTTTATTGTAGTAAACAGGACAAGTGAATGGAATACTACCTAGGACTTGTGGATGTAAATCGTGTGCTTTTGTAATAAAAAAAAGTAAACAAAACCATTAGTGAAATACACCTTTCCAAAAGTAAACACGATCTACATCTGTAAGATCTTGGATAGGCATTGAATGTAAGAACTCGAGCCGTAAAAGCCTGAAAAAAATCTTACGAAAATAGAAAGAAGATTTATAATTAAGGAAACATAGATGCAAATAATTAGAATATTTTTTTCTTAGCGCATAAAGTATGCTCAAACCGATCGATGGTTGTTTCCACAAACACGCAATCGAAAGTATATTAATTCGTATTGCTCGAATTTGTCGTACTATATTAGTCATGTAAAAAAGAGAAATGCAAACGGCAACATCAGACCATGATTTTACTATGTAGACTCTTTCTACGTGACTAGATCTCGAAACCACATGATGTGATTGCAACGTGCAAACACGCGTGAAAAACTAAACAGCTAGAAAGCGAATTGTACGCGTTAGAGAGAAATTGAAGGAAACGATGTCGTGACCCGATGTTTTTAAAAGAGATCTCAATGTCACGACGATGTTTCGTAGGGGTTTTTTTAGCGTGTCCACGCTAAATAGAATAGTACTGCACTGAACCTGCAATCGTACTGAATAATATACATTTGTATTTTTCGATAAAATTCCGTAGCCTCGAATTATACGGGGCTACGAACAATTTTAGAACTGTGTTTTAGTGATCATATTCACGTATAATTGATCCTTTCCGACATGTGTTACCAAAATTTAATTTGGTAATCCAAAAAAAAAAAAAAACGGAAGAAAAAAAACAGAGCGTATACGAGAAGAGTAATCTCTAAGATTCATAACAGTTTCAATTTTTCGAGGCCAATAATCATTCTAAGAATAATAAGAAAAATGGAAAAAAAAATTGAAACGTCACATCTTCTCGTGCATATCTTTCGAAGAGCATTCAAATTTTATATAATCGAGAGTCGTTCAAATAACGTCACACATTTGAAACTAACACTTTAAAGAAGTTAGTGTGCCTAATCTCAAAGTCAGTACGTAATAAACGAATAAGAGAAAAAAAAAAAAAGAAGAAACACCGATCAATGTTTACAGATTGTAATTTTATACCTCGATATAAATTTATATTCGTACTGTCGTTGTGAAAAAAAAAAACGGATCGCTCGTTAACGATCAAAAACGTGTTATAAAGAAGAAAAAAAAATCTCCTACTTTTTAAGATCGAATCGCACCTTTTTATAGGAATCATTATTTCGAAGGCCAATTACATTGTATTTTATAGAATCCTAAATAGAACGAAATAAACGACGAAATCTAACGATGTGCGATCTGATGATTAAGAAAATCGTTCCTTTCATCGATGAATGTTTTCTCACGTTCGTATGCATCGTGTTTTTATGACGTCACGTAAAGGACGTTCCAACGACCTTTCAAACATTCTAGAAGCTTGATAATCAGCGCCAAAGAACACGCGGGTTTATTTTGCGTGCTGGTTAGTGCAGTATCTTCTTCCGATTATTTTCAAATCATCCATTCGTCATTCGACATCCGAGCGTTGATCGCTTTCCCGTAACTGTATGATGTTTCATTAAATTATATTCATTGATCTGTATATTAATTATTATAAATTCATTGATCAAGGAACGTCAGAAGAGTTCCGTTTAAAAAAAAAACGGAAAAAAACGTGCAACTTCTTAGTTGCGAGAATAACGGAGAGCGAATAAATAAATCAAAAAAGAAAAAAAAGAAAAAAAGAAAAGAAAAGAACATGTCAGGTTTACGTGTAATAATTCAACGCTTTGTACAAACAACCGTGCGTTCAATGCACACTTTTTTGTTTAATCAGGTGTGTATTGAGCTATGGCAAATAAACGACGAGCAAATTCTTTCGAACGAACCCAAAAAAAAAAAACAGTGATTCTGTGGAAATACATCTTACATTCGTTCACCATATCGATCGATGAAACGATTAATAAATTAGAAAGAGAAATGAAAAAAATCGTATTCGTGTACACGAAAGAATCGACAAAGTTATTCTTAGTAGCTAGCACAGTTGTATCTATATATACATAGAAAGAGAGAGAGAGTAAGAATGAGAGAGAGAGAGAGAATGGTATCTTCGTGATTTTATTTCTCTTTTGTTGAAAAAAGAAAAAAAAGAAGAAATTACTCATACTAGTTAAATGATGAGTGAAAGAGAGACGTCGAGAAGTTACCGATTTTTCGACAATAGTTTAACGAGAAACGTATTCAATGCATCTATGATGAATATTTTTCACAGAACGTGCTGTTTCTACTCATCTCCGATGTTACTACCACATGCACCGTCGCATGTGGTCCGTCGCGAGCGATAAGTTCGCGTGTACGCGAAATTTTCCGTACGTTTCGTTTAATGTATGTTTAACAAGAAAAAGAAAAAAGGAAAGAAAAGAAGAATCTTATTATTCGACAATTATGCTGTTTCGAGAAGAATGCTGTATAAACGTCGTGGCTTCGAAACATTTCATAGAATCATTTATTACTACAACATAATCAAAAATAAAAAAAGAAAATAACAATCTATTGCTCAAATACTCAATCTCATACTTCGTTGTGTTCAGCTAGATAAATTTACGAAAAAAAAGTATAAATAAATAAATGGAAAAAACAATCTATTTGTTTTCACATCGATCAATTTCGAAGCAGCACGATTTTCGATCGTTTTAGACTATATATAATATAAAGAAGAAAAAAAAAGAAAAGAAAAATTGAGTGGAACGTGTCCCGTGTGTACATGTATGTATGTAAATACGTACGAGTGTGCGGAATACTAACATACGACGTTTGCAACAATAGATTATTTTTCCACGTCTAGCTCGAATGTTACCGACCTTGTCGAACGAACATCTGTGAAGCTAGATTTAGGACGTAAAAGAAGTGGGTGATCGACAATTCATGACGACATGTTTCGCATAACGATGATATATACAGGTGCCGACTGGAATGTCCGGGGAGCACATATTACATTACATTTATCATATATTTTATTTTCGTTTCGGCGTACAGGCAGTCACTGAACGTGAGAGATGGAACAAGTCAGTAACGACGCCTACTATGATAACATATGTGTATACATACGTACATCATGGATCTTTTTTTTATAACTACGATCGATCTATTCAAGAGAGAGAAAAAAAACAAACGAAAAAAAATGCTTACAATTAACGCAAGACCAGATAATAATGAAGATTGATAAAACCAGTATTGGTCAATTACAATTTCATTAAAATCGATTTATTTTTATTTCAATCGAGATTATACATTTAATTAAAAAAAATGTATATATCAGAAGATAAGTAACGATAATAAGATAATAAAAGTAATTGATTGAAAAACGTTTCGCAAAACTATTTTCAATTGTATCCTCTGAGAAAAAGAAATAATATGCGTCAAGTTAATTGTACTGAAAGATCGTATAATGTTAAAATGAACTATTACTGACCGGAATGACATTTCACACGACTTGCATGCTTGTACGGTCTTCTCTTTTATGTTATTACATACGATCGATTAGTTGCAAAATAGTTTCACCTGTTTCTTGAACCAGTAATCTTTCAGTGAATCGTGTTACGATGGATTTGAACGTCGAGTTTCTGAGTGCAATGTCTCTTGGCGTTTGGGTTCATTACGTGATCGCGCTATTTTTCACTCTATTCAGCTATAGATTCTCTTCAATGGTAGGGTTAACTAAACATATATTATATGTAATAAAGAGAACAGAATAAATGTATGTAAACTTATGTGCGTGTGCACATTTCTTCATAAACATCAATCCTGTACTCTTGATTTCGATGTATTTTTTTATTAGATTTTTAATTTTACAATTTACGAGTATTCATTTCTAAGCTACTGTTAAAAAACCATCGAAACGAAAAGAAAGCATCACATCGAAATATTTATTTTTCGTTATAATGGACATGGTAAAAAAAGAAACTATGTTATCGCAGAAGATTACACTGCAATATCGCAACCTTTAAATTGTATTATGTGTTCCTTTTAACCAACAACTTGCAAATGGTGCTTAGTACTTGGATATAATATCCTATATTATTTACGAGAATGTAATAAATCGAAATATGCTAATGGGAAATGCTAGTGAATTATCCAATTACCGGATGCGTCGCAGGGTAACATCATAAAAGGAGAATTCAGAAATATAAAGATGAATCAGGCGGTATCCTGTTAAAAGTATCTATTTGCATGTACTCGATAGCTTACCAACTCGTCAGTAATGAATATGTACCTATGTATGAACGTAAAATGTGAGCATGCGGTCCTATCATCTTGTGTACATATGTATATGCATTCTAGAGTGTGTGTTGCGTATGCGTCGCGTGTGTATGTGATTGCTGTGGTTAGTCGTCACCAGTCGTCACTGTTAGTTATTCCAGCACGATGAATGCACCTCATTAATTTTAAATCGTTTTAACGTCAATGTCACCATTGCCAATAAATAAATGAAATCCTTTGATGTGTATGAAAAGTCGCGAAACGTCAAAGTATAACGTGATTTAGTATTTTTTGTGATAAAATGCGTATATATCGCTGTCAATACCGGTAGTGTATACTAGATACGCCCACGACAAGTTAAGTGTGTGTGTCTTCTTTCACATAAATCTCTTGTGATAATTTGTCAGAGAAAAGTCGTGTTCAAGGGAGAGGTTAAAAAGTGCTATTTTTTTAGTCGTTTTGAATTAATCGTAAGTAATGGACCGTGACACTTGATAAGGTCATCCACTTCTTCATCTTAATTTTTTGAATAGAACACGACTGAGACACAGTGGGGATTGACTTTTTATACACGTGCGAATTTACACGCACATGTATATTTGTTAAATAAAATATAATAAATAAGGAATGGGAATTGACAGTATGAGAGTCGGAGGAGGCCGATGTCCTCCCTTCCTCGTCGGTGGACTTCTCATCGCTTGTTTAATGCTCATTTGCAGCTGGTGGACTTTATCTACCGAAAATATCGAGTTAGTTAGACAGATCGACGAGTTAAATGAAGAACTTAAAATCAGGTACCGTTATGCGATATACTATTGTATTAATGTAAATCAATATACTATATTTTACAAATTATATTTTATTTTTTATTTATTATTTATAACAAAAGTGCCCACACTATATAATTTGTATTAAATTGTATCACCTTGAAGTTTGAGATATATGTGTAAAACATGTTATTTTCTCAGTATTTTTAATTGGAAAATTAATTAAAACTTGGAAAAGACATGTATACTTTTTGGTGGACTGTAATTATATTTATACCAAAATTATGTTTTAGTGCTGAAGAAAGAGATCAATGTGTTACATTACGTGGAAATTTAGAACAAAGATACAAGCATGCAGAGGATGAAGTGGCAACACTTCATGTACGTTTGGAGCAGCAAGCAGAAATAAAGAAAAAAAATGATAAATTAGAAGATTCTATTAATATGTGCACAAGTGAACTGGATTCATTGAATAAACTAGATGCCACAAAAACTGCAACATTGGAAACTTTAAGACTGGAAAAGGAGACTTTTAATACACAGTTAGATTCAAAACGTGATGAAAATAAAAAACTATTGAAAGAAATAGATCAGGTATAAATTTACTTTTAGGAATATAATTCTTTTTATAATGTCAATAAGGTGTTTCATTCACTGTATTAATCTTTTGTAGTTAAAAGATGAGCTTGATAAAGCAAAACTCACATGTAACACAACTCCTCAAAAGAAAGCTGCATTTATTCCACAACGTAAGTTACAATATTCTATAATATATACTTCTTTATTTTAATTTTACTTTATACATTTACATATTAGGTATTATATGAAGTCAAATTGAAGTTGGAATAATTAAAAACATTTATTACTTATTTTTATAAATTGAACAATATTTCTTGTAATTTGAATGGCTTTTTTTGATACTGCACTTTTAAAATTGTAAGAAATTGCAACAGTAATTTTCTAAATAATTCTAACATATTTGGGGTGTCAATAGAAACATTAATTCAGCTTCCCTTTTGTTTAATTTTTGCATATTACAAAAAATTGACTTAGCATTATATGATATTTTGGCGATTTGCCAATTTAGCTGCAAGACCAGTAATTAACAAGATTCAGTTGGATCCTGTTCCGGTATCAGCTGTAAAAATATCCTTAACTGGTCAACGTGGTTTGAAATACCATGGAATACCAATTCTTCCAAAAGATCCACCTGGCGCTAAGCGCCTAAGTCCTCGCTTCTCTGTTACAATGCTAAAAGGTAGTGATACTTTTCTCCTACCTCAGGAGAAAAGAAGATTGTCACAAAAATAAAGCACTCATGCAATAATTCTGTATATAAAATCATTGTATTTTTTATGCATCCACTGTCAAACTTCTGTTTGTATAAATCAGATGGCTTTTTTAATCAAGTATATTGCACTGCTTATCTACTTACCACATATAGGATAGATTAAAAT